TTTTTTATTGTAACTTGTAACTTTTCTACTGCAATCTTGTAACTAGTCTACTGCTATCTTTAGTGGCAGCTTACACTCCTTTTACATTCTATTCTTCTGTAGAAACGTAAAAGTTATATAAGTTCAGAGTCGAAGCGAAACATCTATTATGCATTAAACTTTAAGAAGAACTGCTAGAGCATAACAACTTCGACTTGTGCAGCTAACAAAATTTCTAGAAATTTGTTGCTATTTGAATGCTTGACAGTCATCAGTTAAAGGACGTATACACTTCTATATATAGATGTTTATGTGTGTGTGTGTGTGTACTTTTGAATTGTTTATATTGGATGCACCAAAATCAGCACTTGAAGTTTTATTTTGATTGCCATCGATGCGCCTGAATCGAAAAAGTTGTGCGCTTTCCACTTGGTCGTGCGTTGTCAGATAGAGCAACAAACAGCGTTATATAAGGTTGTAATGGATGCTAAAAGAGAGTGAGTGAGTGAGCGAGTGAGTGGGGGAGTGAGAGAGAGAGGAATAAAGAACTCTTTCATTGCTTAATATAATGAAAAGTCATTCAATTTCACTTCGATAGTATGCATTTATTTGTAACCATATAGTTGAGAGTTGCTTGGAAAAAAAAAAGAAGAGTTTTCAACGTTTTTTCTACACTTTCTTTTTTTTTTTTTTTTTTGTATCAGGGTAAATGAATGATGCTTTGAATGGAATATATCGATGCACTAATTGAAAAGAAAAAAAAAAAAAAAAAACAAATAACTGCCATACATTATAAATATTTTTGTAATTGAAAAAAAAAAAAAAAAAAAAAAAAAATCAATAAATAAATATATGTATTTGGATTTTGAGGCGATCTTTCTCTAAGCAAGGGAGTGCAATTAGGACAGCAGCTCCTTTGAAGCTGGTCGCATGAAAATAGATCTAATAAAAGTTTATTTGTTTATATTAAATGAAAATGTATTGGAAATCAAAAGAGAGCTACAAGGGTCAGTAATTTGAATACACTTCAGTTGTGTGCACATGAAAAATGTATTGGTAATGCATAAAGAAAATCGCAAACAATGCTCAACTATAAATAATATTTGCCAAAAGGGCAGAGCTCTTAATAAATATATAATATGAAATGCATATATGTACATATAGAGTTTGCATTTGCAATGCGAGTAAAAATGACAAGTTTTATTTATGAGCCATTTACACGCCACACTGGAAACGACAATTTTAACCAACTGACATAAATTTTTAAATAAAAGGACACAGAAACTGTTGCAGACTTTATGTGACTGAAACGAAACAAAACGAGACGAGACGAAACGTCACGGAATGGAACGTTATGAAACAGGACACGAGTTGCACATTGTGGTGCCATCAATTAATGTCACTTTCTCAACTCTCCCTCTCCCTCTCTCTCTCCCTCTCCCTCTGTCTCACTTTCTCTTTATATGTCTGTTTCGCTTGCACTCATTGTTTTTCGGTCGTCACATCGCACGCGAATGTCAACGCCATGAACGAACAGGCTCAAATTGTGAGGAAAATGTGGACGAATGCATGTCAAATCCATGTCAAAATGGCGGACTTTGCCGTGACCGTAACAATGGGTACACCTGCACCTGCCAGCCCGGCTATCTGGGGGATCACTGTGAACTGGATGTGGCCGTCTGCGACACGGGTAAGTTACGGCTTGTGGGAGCTAACCAAATCGCTTTTGCACTCATTGTGATCCTTGGTTACAGGCACTGGAGCCCGTTGCCAGCATGGCGGCGAGTGCATTGAGGGCCGTGGCTTGGAGTTTAGCTGCCAGTGCTCGGCGGGCTGGCATGGCCGCATCTGTCAGGAGGAGATCAATGAATGCGCCTCCTCGCCCTGCCAGAACGGCGGCGTCTGTGTGGACAAATTGGCCGCCTATGCCTGCGCCTGTCCCATGGGCTATACGGGCGTCAACTGCGAGGAGGAGATACTCATCTGTGCGGACAATCCGTGCCAGAACAATGCCCTCTGCCTCATGGAGGAGAATGTGCCCACATGCTACTGCGTGCCAGATTATCACGGCGAGAAGTGCGAATTCCAATACGATGAGTGTCAGCTGGGACCGCGCTGCATGAACGGAGGCGTTTGCATTGACGGCGTCGATACCTTCTCCTGCTCCTGCCCTCCACTGCTGACGGGCATGCTGTGCGAATGCTTGATGGTGGGTGAGGAATCGCTCGATTGCAACTACACTGCACCGGCGACAGCTGCACCACCGGTGGTGTCCGTTACACCGTCGGTGCCGCCCTTCTCGACCTTAGCACCGCCCACTGTGCGACCGGTTACGCCACCAGAAACGACCATGGCCCCAAGTGCACACCCCACTGCACCGCCAGCATCAGCTGTAACCACTATGACGCCAATTGAGTTACCTTCCTCGTCCGCATCGTCTTCATCGGAGGAAACTCTGGTAGAGTTCCGCGTAACGGTGGCACCACCCGAGAGCGACAGCCACAGCTTAGACAAGGTGCCAACAACAATAAGGCCGCAACCACAGCCAGAGGTCCCAGAGCCAACAGCCGAGGCACAGCCACTGCCTGAACCCACCACACCACCGGTTGGCGGCGTTTCTTCAGCCTCCACCTCGTCGTCCGAGGAAACTCACGGCATCTACACTACTCTACCCCCAATGCCGGCGCCGGGTGTAACCGCCTCCTCATCAGCCGAAACTTCTTCGGAATTGATTACCTCCGAGGAATATACAACAGTGCGGCGCTTTGATGTTAGCGGCAGTGGCAGTGGCAGTGGCGCCGGCAGCGGCAGCGGTTCCAGTGAGGAACCCACCACCACAATGCGAACCACTGTAACACAACCGCCCAGCATAACAATTGCCGTCGATTATGCATCATCGAGCAGCTCCGAGTCGGTGGAGCAGCCCATAGCCGCAACCACACCCAGCAGCATCTATGTGCATCGCGTAACCACATTTGAGACAAGCATCTCGGTAGACTATGCACCCACACCGACACCCTATTTTCCGCCAGAGACCACCATGAGCCCGACCAAGACGCCACTCGAGGAGACAACGCGACATTTGTGGACCGAACTGCCCACCACAGCGGCGCCATTCTTCACGGATTATCCAGCTGAGGTGCTCATCACAACGCATCGCACCAGCGCCGGACGATTTACGACGGTGCAGCCACCCGTACAGCAAGAGACCACCACAGCACCACTGGACTATGAGCCGCCCAGCGTGGAGCTAACCACGGCACAAACTCCGCACATTGTGGTAACCATTCTGGAGAGTAATGCAACGCTCCCAACCACAACACTATTGCCACCAATAACAACCCAGCGTGAGCCTCAGCCGCAAACCACTCATACAGCCACTGAAACACCAGCGGAATGGGAGTCAAGCACCACACAGGTACCACCGGCCGTAACCGTGCCCGCGCCTGTGGAGATAACCACATCCCAGACTATGACAACAGAGGACTTGGTGGGGCCGCCTGCGCCGCCTTTGATGACCGTGGAGTCGCCTCGCGAGACAACCACGCCCAGAACTGGGGTCACTCCGGCACCCACACCATTGCCCACAGAGCCACCAACTGTGGCCAGCTTGCCTGCAGTTACGGTGCCACCAACTCCGCCATCCACACAGTCGGCACAGACGATGCCACCACCCACACCGCCCATATATGTCTACAGTACACCCGGACAACCAGAGGTAGCGGCGCCGACCAAGTCCCAGGTAACCGAGAGCAGTGAGGACACTGATGGCGCCAATACGGTGGCCAGCGGTGGTGCCGGCAGTGGTGCTGGCGGCTCTGAAGGCAAATCTGGCGATGTTGACTGCATCAAGCTCGGCTGCTACAACGGCGGCACTTGTGTAACCACATCGGAGGGTTCCCGGGTGAGTAAACCATACCAAATTTCTCCATGAGCTCCTGTTCAATCGATAGCCGTTGTATTTGTGGTTAACAAAAAGTAAATAAATAARTACACAACTTCAACAATTTTCTACCCCATTGAGCATCTAATTGGCCATAAAGCAGCCCCTGTGGGCGACTCCTGTTACATTTATTCCTGTCATACTGTCCCTCCCGCTGACCCATAGAAGGGCCATTACATTGGCGCCAACGTTCTAATTACCTTGGCCATAGGCAAACAAGAATTACACCTGACAAACATATGCTCATTGGGACCTTCATGGGCTATGTGTTATCCAGTAAAATTGACCTCAATTTCAAAAGGGCTTTTGCTTTTTTACTGTATACAAATATTTACATTTTGAAAAGCTATTCAAACACTTTGAAGAGTCTTAGCTGAAGTGAAACTTTAAAGCTCTCACAAAGCTTAAGCTGAAGTTTAGTTAGTTTGATGTGTTTTCATATTTAGAATATTTTTATATGAAATCACAAATCTAATGCAATTTACATATTATATTATATAAATATGTTACATATTTATATTATTTTGTTATATGTTAAATTATTTCATATATAGAATCTTTTATTTAAATATATATAAATATATACTCGATAGCGATGGGCGAATGCTGTCCAAATTATGTTCAGTTTTTGGCTTCGATGAAAGTGCAAATTGTACGATTCTTTTTAATCAGGTTTTGAATGGAATAATTCCAATAAGCGTTGAAGCTTTAAGACTTAAACTAGTTCAAAAGCTCACCAAATGAGTATATTTATATAAGTTTTCAATCAGCTTAAGTTTGCATGTGCTTTAAAGCTGTTTAGAGCGAAGTATTATTTAAATTTATTTTTTAAATCAAAATGTATTTTATCTTATTCGAAACTGTTATACAAAGAATACTACAAAATCTACACACACTCCTAGAGCAATTCCATTCAAAGGGTATTTTTAATTAATGCTATTGGATAATTACAAAGTGCTGACAGCACGAACACAGCAAAAAATCAACATGTTCTCCGTTACTACCTTTTGAAGCTGAGCTAAAAACAAAAATCTTTAACACATGGCGGAAACTAGATATTATCTAGTTAGTAAGCTGTACTTCTAACATCTGTGCTTGGCAATTAAAATTAGCAAGAAGCATCAAGAACAACAACTAATATGATATGCATAAATGTTGAAACTAGCGTTAAGATTAATGATTTTCACAAAACTCATGAGAATTGCCGCTGATAAATAAGTTCTCATTTGCGCAGCAGAGAGAAACTTTAATCATAGCATTTAATAGCGGGCAAGATTTACTGGACGAGAGATAGAAACCGCACACACATACAATGATAAGTCGAAACGGCAAACAGACAGCTACAGCTACACAACCACCTAAAGCCAACACACACACACACACAAGCACAGCGAGCAGAGAGAAGCATATGCTGACCTCATGCGCCTGGCCCATTGCATAAATAATCATGTATGTAGCTTGTCGAGCAACAAAAGGGGAACAACAACAACAACAACAACGACACATCGAGGCAACAACATCTGTAAGCTTCTTACTTAGTTTGATTCAAACCAAACAGAGCCGAATCCTAGCCAACAGCTAAGATGGCAACGAACTAGAGCTAGGACCAGTCGAGTCCCTTACACAAACCATTCCAAATTATGCTCAACTAACAATACATGCAAGGATTTCATTAAATTCTGATTGAAATATGACACATGTAACTGTGTGAGAGAATTTAAATAGATTGAAATGTAAAATTCATTAAATCAATAAAATAAAAACCAATATAATTATAGACTAAAGTAAAAACAGCTTAATTAAAGTGTGCCTGAATTAAAATATATAGATTTACAGTTAATTTGATTGCCAAATCCAATTTATTGTGGAGGCTAAAAACTTTCTAAATAGCAGCAAATCAATCAAAAACTTTACAGGCCTACCTACATTTCAAATTCAGATAACAGCTTCAAAACTGATGGCACATACTATATATTTATTTTCATATATGTTAAATTTTTACAGCTAAATTTATAAAAATTACCTTCAACTCATTTCACTGACAGGTAAAATCGTTTGGCAACTAGGCCGAACAAGCTGTCTGTTTCATGAGGCAGATATCTCATACAGCATCATCAAATGCCAATTGCTTTTGCAACAGAATAGTTAACAATTTCTCTCCTGCCAGTTAGCCTCAAATTTCAGGTAAAATCACACAAAATAGCACAGCAGCAAAATTTTGTTCCACAACAAAAAGCCACAAAAGTGTCTTCCCCTACCCCTAGCCAACCAGCCATGCCCAGAGTAGTCGAGGATTCAGAACTAAATGGGCCAGATGTAAAGTATGCCTATTCAACAATTTATGAAAATAGTTGCGGTATGGTAATTCTACGAAAAAATAATGTTTTTTCTCTGACTGGGACTTTGGGACTAGAACCCGCATAACTGAGGGGAATGAAAGCATTTTAAATTAATGTCTGACAAATTGAGCACAATTAGGAACAATACAGAGAGATAGCACGGAAGCAGACAAACAAAATACATTTTTACGGGGTGTACTAATAACTATCAAATCGACAGTTGTGAAGAAAAAACTAGTTAAGCCCATTCAGGATAATTAGGAAATTGTTTACTGAAATGTATTTATGTCCGATGGAGAACTGTATTTGAATCAAGTTACTTATAAAATGTTAATTTTTATTATAAATACTATCTTTAATTTTCATTCCCATTTTTTATTAATTATAATTTCAAAAAA